GCAAGACACCTTCCCCCCGGTGTGCTGGATCTTCCGGTACCTCCTTTCCCTGACAGCGTCCACAGCCGCACCGTCCCGTCCCGGCTGCACGACGCCGCTAGCGACCCGTTCCCTGTCACCGATACCCCCAGCACCCAGTCGCTGTGCCCCGTGCACTTGGCCACCTGACTCCCCGTCGCTACCTCCCAGATCCTCACCGTCCCGTCTACCGACCCGCTGATCGCCCGCCCCCCGTCCCATGTCACCGATACTGCAAGAACCTCCTTCTCGTGACCCTGCAGCTTCAGCGCTCCGAGCGACACTGACCCCGTGCTCCCCGGCTGCGCCTTCTCCCCGCCTTCCTCCCTGGCTCCCATCTCTGTCCTTCTCTCCCCTACAGTTACTGCCGATGCCGTTGCTACCCCTTCCTCCGCTCCTGCTCCCGCCCCTTCCTTCGAGCCCTCCGCACCTCGCTCTGCCATCCCTCTCCCCTTGCTCCCATCCTTCTCTGTGACGCTTGACGGTGGCTGGAGCGGCTTCCCCACGCTCTCCCCTGACTCCACGTCCCACACCCGTACTGACATGTCCCAAGAGCAAGATACCACCGTCCCCCCGCCCCCCGCAATGCACACCCCGAACACCTTGTCGCTGTGCCCCGTCATCGCCTTCACCTCCCGCCCCTGCTCCAGGTCCCACACTCGCACGCTCCTGTCGAAGCTGCACGTCGCTGCCAGCCTCCCGTCTCCTGACGCCGACACCCCTCTCACGTCGTCCTCGTGCCCCGTCATCACGTGCTCGCACCGCCCGCTCCCTATGTCCCACACCCGGATCTCCCGGTCCTGCCCGCATGATACCACCCGCCCGCCCCCTATCGACACCCCCCTGACGACCCCTTGTGCCCCTCCAGCACTCGCTCTGCCGTCAGCTTCCCCGTCTCCCACACGATCACCGTGAGGTCCTGCGACCCTGACGCGATCCTCTCTCCCCCCGGGCTCGCGCATACACACCGCACTGCTCCCGTGTGCTTGCTCAGCGCCTTCACCTGCTTCCCGCTGTTGCAGTCCCACACCAGCACCTGCTTCCCCTGCCCGCTCACCACCCGCCCCCCGTCCGGTAGAAGCGCCACGCAAGACACCTCCCCCGTGTGCTGGATCTTCCGTACCTCCTTCCCTGACAGCGTCCACAGCCGCACCGTCCCGTCCCGGCTGCACGACGCCGCTAGCGACCCGTTCCCTGTCACCGATACCCCCAGCACCCAGTCGCTGTGCCCCGTGCACTTGGCCACCTGACTCCCCGTCGCTACCTCCCAGATCCTCACCGTCCCGTCTACCGACCCGCTGATCGCCCGCCCCCCGTCCCATGTCACCGATACTGCAAGAACCTCCTTCTCGTGACCCTGCAGCTTCAGCGCTCCGAGCGACACTGACCCCGTGCTCCCCGGCTGCCGCGCGCGCTCGTCCGGCGTGGCCATCCCTGTCTCCGGGGGGAGCGGCTTCCCCACGCTCTCCCCTGACTCCACGTCCCACACCCGTACTGACATGTCCCAAGAGCAAGATACCACCGTCCCCCCGCCCCCCGCAATGCACACCCCGAACACCTTGTCGCTGTGCCCCGTCATCGCCTTCACCTCCCGCCCCTGCTCCAGGTCCCACACTCGCACGCTCCTGTCGAAGCTGCACGTCGCTGCCAGCCTCCCGTCTCCTGACGCCGACACCCCTCTCACGTCGTCCTCGTGCCCCGTCATCACGTGCTCGCACCGCCCGCTCCCTATGTCCCACACCCGGATCTCCCGGTCCTGCCCGCATGATACCACCCGCCCGCCCCCTATCGACACCCCCCCTGATGACCCCCTTGTGCCCCTCCAGCACTCGCTCTGCCGTCAGCTTCCCCGTCTCCCACACGATCACCGTGAGGTCCTGCGACCCTGACGCGATCCTCTCTCCCCCCGGGCTCGCGCATACACACCGCACTGCTCCCGTGTGCTTGCTCAGCGCCTTCACCTGCTTCCCGCTGTTGCAGTCCCACACCAGCACCTGCTTCCCCTGCCCGCTCACCACCCGCCCCCCGTCCGGTAGAAGCGCCACGCAAGACACCTCCCCCGTGTGCTGGATCTTCCGTACCTCCTTCCCTGACAGCGTCCACAGCCGCACCGTCCCGTCCCGGCTGCACGACGCCGCTAGCGACCCGTTCCCTGTCACCGATACCCCCAGCACCCAGTCGCTGTGCCCCGTGCACTTGGCCACCTGACTCCCCGTCGCTACCTCCCAGATCCTCACCGTCCCGTCTACCGACCCGCTGATCGCCCGCCCCCCGTCCCATGTCACCGATACTGCAAGAACCTCCTTCTCGTGACCCTGCAGCTTCAGCGCTCCCAGCGACACTGACCCCGTGCTCCCCGGCTGCTGATCTTGTTTGTTGTGATCTGTTATTTGAATTCTTTGATCAATTTTATCAAAAGGAAGATGTTCGTTTTTGTTCAATTGACTTAGAGGCATGAAAGTTGTTGAGGCGTTCAATTTTGTCACGAAGCTCTGAGTTTTCATTGGATCTGTTTCTTCAGGTTTGGAATGCAATGAAGACCATGAGGGGGTTTGTCTTGGAGCTGGTGTGTTGTCCTTGGACGGGCTATGTCTTGATGCTGGCTTGGATTCTGATGCTCGTTTTGTGGATGCGACAGTGCTAAGATTTGTCCCACTGTCAAGAATACCTTTTCCTGGGTTGACCAAAGATACAATCTTCTTGGTTTCGTCTGCTGCCTTTTTCTGTGCTACAATTCCGGAGGCATCCATGGCTGACGCAATGGGCGACGACTGCGATACACTTGGGAGTACATTTTGTGATGGTTTTATATCAAATGTCGGCCGAATATCTGCTTTGTGTGCTGTTTCGTGATGCGGCCCCGAAGATGATTGCTTAGCCTCATTGAAAGATGGTGTCATACGTTGCAGCGATCCCCTCTCTTGTGTACTCGATAATCCCCTCTCTTGTGTACCCGATGATCCCTTCTCTTGTGTACTTGATGATCCCTTCTCTGGTTTACTAGGCGATCTCTTCTCCTGGGCACTGGGCTGGGGGGCGGGCAAGTCATCGGGAGCGTAGAATCCTTCATCGTTCTCCTCCGCTTGCTCTTGTAACCTCCTCCTCCTCGCCAGCACCGCCGCAAGGTCCGCCATGTCAGCGTCGATGATTTACCACCAGATTTACCACCCCCTCCCCTTCCACGACCTCTGCGATGAGGAGACAGAGGAAAATTGGGTGGAGACAGAGGAAAACTGAGGGGGGCTCGGTATTGGTGAGAATGACTAAAGGTGACGAGAGACATAAGCAAAATGGCGTCGCTGGTTAGGCTTCTGCTGCTCCAAGCTGTGTCAGCGTCGCTCGCCTTCTCTCCTGCAGTGATGACACGTGAGGGTGTAGGCCGATCACCTTCCTCTCCACTTCCTCGAGCTCAGCGACTTGTTCTTCAGAGCATCCGGCAGGTGAAGCGGTCGAAGGTATGCCAAGTCGCCATGTCGTCGGTGACATGCGAGTACAAGACGCTCACACTACAGACGGAACCCGGTAAAGATGACGCTGCTCTCCCTCATTTACATATTCACTTCTTCAACGCGCAGGAATCTCAGTTTGGGACATTACACCGGAGATCAAGGAGTTGATCAAAACGAGCGGCATGAAGAATGGTTTCGTGAACGTGATCTCTCGGCACACCACCACAGCCGTCATGATCAATGAGTATGAGTCGCGTCTGATCAAAGACCTCAAAGACTACTTCTTGAAGATAGCTCCCCCTGATGCAAAGTACCTGCACAACGAAATACATTTGCGCCCAGAGACGCAGGAGGACAAGAGGAGGGTTCTCCTCAACAACTGGGATATCAATGATCCTGCTGTACTTGAGGCTTGGAGATCCCAGGAGCCCTTCAATGCTCACTCACACTTACTGTCTATGATGCTTGGGAACTCAGAAAGCATTCCGGTACGTGAGGCGCTCAGTTTTGCAGAGTTGACACCTTCGCAGGTATCAAACGGTGAACTGGCGATCGGGCAGTGGCAATCAGTGATGCTCGTTGATTTGGACGGTCCACGCAAAAGGACTGTAGGTATCCAAGTGTTTGGCACATGATGAGTTAATCCTTCCATTACACCCTGAAAGTTCTTCGCCCTCAGTCGCTGTCCGGGCTGATTTCTCTCACAACTCGAAGGGTTCGACGCATGTTCTCTTCTCCTCCAACCGAGGGTTTTCTCACAGCACTGCTCGTGCATTCAGTCGACGTCTGTCCCTCCTGGCTCGAGTTCACTGGCAGAGGAGAAACCCCCTCGGATGTTGGTGCTGGAGAGTGAGCGCTTGTCTTGTACGCTCCGTTCCCTGATCAAGTGTCAAGTTTCGCTGCTGTACAAAACTCTCACTCGTACCTCCTCCATGCAAGTGCTGGCGAATCTCATCACAGAATCGTCTCGCTTCCACGAGAGCCTCCGCCTTCCTCCTGAAGCGCTCCAGTGCCCCTGTTGCTTGCTCTGATGCTGAGAGAGCCCTTTTGAACATCCCCTTCTCCAGTAAAACTTTCGCAGATTGGCTGGCGCAAGTGTTACTTGTAGTTGCTAGTCAAGACAATCTTACAGCAGATTCTCTGCTCTCCGTCCCTCCCGGAGTTCATCAAGCTCTTCACGGATGTCCGGCGAGTCCTCAAGGATTTGACGTAAGATCTTGTCGTCGACCTGCACCTGTCAGTCACTTGACTTGCTACTCGACCCTAGTGTGACACCATGAGTACATCTGTTTGTACCAGAGCTAACACAGTCGCACTCCTCGGATCGTTGTGCAGAAGTGACATCTTGTAGCATAAAAACATTATCTCATCATCAGAGCATCACACACCTACTGACCTCACCAACAACTGCTCCTTCTCCTGCATTTAACGCAGTCAGGTTAACTCTTGGAAATAAACTTTCAGTGTGCAACTGACCCATCTGCGCCACTTCTTTCTCCAGTTGGTCCTCTCCTCGAATAAGCACGGCAATATTTCCTTTGAGCAGGATGAAACAGTAGGGCTGGTTCGTGTCACCCTGATAGGCAGCCGAACGTTTCCCGTCAATCTTCCTCACCCTCACAAATCCAACACTCAAACTAGAAGACTTTCACCTGAGACATAAGCACTTCTCCACATCTGTACCGAAAGGAAGGGCAACTTTGGGCCAAGCTCATCAAATGTTCTTCGTGCAAGAGTTTGAGAAGTTCCGATCGCCTCATGCTCAAGACTGCAAATATCGACTCGCTTGGGAATTCAATCTTCCGCTTCTCCAGATTTTGCTGAATTCTTTCTGCTTTCAGACTTTCAATCTCAGAGGTCAATTTCAAATTCTTCCGCAGAATTGAAGAAAAGGACTCATAGGTGATCAAAATGAGATCTGCAACGCCGCATGCCTTGATAGTTGCAGAGCGAGGCTCGCCAAGCAGCATCCCCATCTCTCCGAATATTTGTCCTTTGCCGAGCTTTGCTACCTCCTTTTGATCCCCTGCTGCCCCAATCATGACTGACAGCACGCCTGCCACTACCATGTACATCCATCTCTCTCCTTCTGCCCCCTGCTCGATTACCACATCTCCATCCTGGTACTGTATCGGTCTGCAAATCCTTGCAAGAGTTTGCCGCTCCTCATCAGAAAGTAGTTTGAGGATGGGGCTTGACTGAAGGCTCATGACCCGCTCAATAGGATTCATCTTCTGGCGAGACCCTTCTGCTACCGACGGATTCTCACGATTTCTTCGACGGCTGATTGCAAGCTCTCTCTGTTGATTGATGTACTCAGCGTTGAGCTGTGATAAGATGAGCTCTTTTTCCGCTGAGGAGGGCGGCATTCGGTTGAGATATGCCTTGTACCCTTTGACAAACATGTTCGAGTCAACGTAGCTTGAACCCTCATACTCAGAGTCATGATCAAACCCGACCTCAAATCGCTCAAGCTCTCCTTCTGTATACCCAAGATCAGAGAGCAATCTTAGCAGGTCTGATTTTGGCATGTATCGTCTGCCTGTCTGATTCAGCGAACAGAACAGCATTTCAGCTTCTTCTCGGATACTCGCAGCAACGGCTGTTCGTCCAGACAATTTCAGATGCCAACGTTTGTGTTCCGAAACGGCATCTTGTGTTATCACATTTCCATCTTCATCAGATGATATCATGAATTCGCCATCAAATAAAGATGCACAACAACGAATTGGGCTGCTGTGTATGAATTGTGTATGCAAGTGTTGAGCGTGCATCTTTGCACTAGATTTTGATAGAAACAGCTTCCAGAACCGAATTGAAGAATCGTCTGAGACTGTCGCCAGCATCCCGGCCTGTTGAAGGTAGCATGCTGCATTGACCTTGTGCGAGTGAGCGTGAGCACCTTCAAGCCCCCCAAGTCGGTCAAGACATTCTTCATCCACACGCCAGATGTCAACCAGCCCTGCCGATCATTTCAGAGACAACTAGTAGAGAGTAGTCGGCCCTGCCTTGATCCATGAGGCCGCTGGCAACCAACCCAACATGTTCCTGCAAGTGAAGAAAGCTGACAGGGCCCGCGGTTGTGACCAAACTCACCAGCTGAGAACCGAAGGACCACTGCGTCTTATGTTGAGGCTTCCAGAGTCTAATCGTTGAGTCCATGCCTGACGTTACCAGAAAGCTTCCGTCAGACTTCCAGGCACACCCTGATACTGGGCCCTGATGCCCATGATTTGCGTTCTGACCAAGCTTTTGAATGCAAACGCTGCTTTCAATACTGCAAATACGCACGATTCCATCTGATGCACCAGTTGCAAAGAGCAGATTGATATGACAAGAGGATACAGCGGTCACAGGAACAAGGTGGTTGACACAAGCAATACACTTGCCCGCTTGCATTTCAGTCAGTGTCTGCCCAAGCTCCCTGATCCTAACAGAAAATTTTGCTGCGTCTCGTTGGATCAACTTTTCCATCTCTTCTTTTACTTTCGCTCTCTGAGGGTCCTCTTGAATGGTCCAAACTCTCGCCGTGCCATCAAGCGAGGAGGAGACGAGTAGCCCCATCTGAAGCCCCTCTCCCACCACAATTCCAGTGATGGAGTTTGTATGGCCCACAAGCATGCACTTTACATATGATGAGCCCATGGAAAAATTAATGCAAACTACCTTCTCCTCGAAGTCCAGCGATGAATCGCCTTCACCATGCTCCACACGTTTGACAAAAGACACTCTAAAATAATTCTGAATGACTCGACAGAAATAAATTAACAAGGTAGATTCTAAACAACACGAGAGAAGCATCATAACAAATCAAGGATGATGAAAAAACTTTGACACCAAATATGACTAAAGTTTTATGAACAAGTCATTGAAACCTGACGGAGCAATCTTCTCCTCCTGTGGCGAAAATAATTCCTTGAGTAGGTTGCCTCATCGCTTTGCAGTCTGCTTCCTGTCTGTCTGCATCGGAACTCAGTTCCAGCTCTTCAGGAAGACTTTCCTTTTCGTCGTCTCCAATGAGTTGCGAGGAAGCTCCTGCCACCATTGCCGTTACGCTCCCGGCGTGAGGGCGCATGATGCCTCTGCCGCTTACTCCTGCCATGGTCCTGCTACATTCCTGATGCCTAGTCAAACAAAGTACCCCACCCCACACAATTTTTTTCTAGAGAGGGGGTAAAACCACCCCCTCCCTTCCAGCACCTGTGTGAACGCTTTGAAAGCAAGCTCTACCACCATTGCCGTCGCAACGCTCCGGCAGCATGCTTGACGAGGTAAGCCACTCTCCAGGCTGCCAGGCGCTTGACTGGCACCAACTATCACCGCATTGCTGGCAGGCTCATAATGAAAACATGGCGGAACTCAAGGATACAACTGTGCTGCTCTCGGTAAAACCACAAGTCATTGAAGGGACTGAGAATCCATGCAGGAAAATAAAAGACTGCAAGAAGAAATATCAAAACTAAAGCAGAATTTGGAGGATGCAAGATGGATGAATGAAGTCTACGAGAAGAGTTTTAATCGAATGAGCAAAGATCGTGCTCAGCTGTTGCGAGTATGTCATGCTTGCTGCCATGTATTTGTATCTCTTTTGAGTAAATTACTCACATTTAATGAATAGGCTCAGTTTCCAAATGAAATTTCTCCCGACAAGTCAAAAGAAACTGATGGTATGACACCAGTAATTGATTGAGCAGAAGATGGTAATGGTTGTTCTTACAGAAATTACAGTTTGTTTAAAATGCCATGGAAAGGATACATTCAGGCGGGAAGTTACATACCGTTTGATATCAATCCTAGAGAAAAAGTACTTGAGGGTGGCATATTTTGATGCTTTTGCAAGGGCATGTCAACGCACGCGGTGCGGTTGTGATGTTTCAAGAGATGCAACTTGATGCAGTTCTCTAGGAGATATGTTAGCGTGCTGGCAAGAATGACTGACAAGACTGTAGGCGAACACTTTTCCAGGAAAGTTATTCTTAGACTAAGAGTGCAGTCGAAGCCTGCGTGAAAACTCTTAAAGTTTTGTTGGAGCAGATGGAGCGCGTATACAGTTGAAAGGTTGGCAGCGAGAGCACTCACAGCAACACTGCGAAAGAACTTCAAAATTGAAGAAACATTGAGCAAGCAGGTAATTTGTGATCTCAAAGCTCGATTTACATAATAAAGAATGTTCGGTCAGGTGAGCGAACCGGATGAAGGTTCTAATGATCAAGGAGATATTTGTGTCCAAGATGCCAGCAACGACATTGAAGGAAGGTGATATATCCTTTCAGATATGTTTAGCTTAATACGATATTTCTTTGTTGTTCCAAGCGCTGAAATCCCAACAAATGCCTCCCTTACTTTAAGGACGATCCATGAAACGAAGTCTCCGCTGCAGTCAAAGGCAAGAAAATGGATCTGTGAGAACGTCAGCATGACTTTTGGAAACAGGCAGAGATTATCTACACAAAAGCTAAGAGATTATAAGGGAGCTACATCGAGGGGTAAGATGTTGAAATCAATCGATATGGATGAAACGCTTTTTGAACACATTTATCGTGGTCAACCAACAGGTTGCCCACGGATTCAATGCTCAATCATTTGTATGCAGCTATCGTTCCATGCATTTATAGCGCTAATTGCATGAGACTTTGGGCTGCAATCAGTAAATTTACGTTTCATGGGGAAGGCTTGACAAGAACATACTAGGCAAGACTTTACAAAAATGCACATTCTCGTTGAAGTATTCGCATGGAGGAAAAGAATTCATGCAGTGATGGCTGCATGATTTCTACTTTCGTAGTTCAATTGCCTCACTTGAATGAGAGCTTCCGCTGTATGTTGCGCCCTTCTTGGCCATGGTTGACCTACATCTCAGCTTTCTCGGGGCAGCCACGATGGGGGAATGCCTGATTCGGGGAAAGCGACACATCTATTGCAGGGGGTAGTGGTACTACCCCTGACCCCACGTAGCTTTCGAGGTACAGGGAAATGTAAGGGTACTGCACCGAAACAACTTATCAAGCGGCAGGGTTTCAGGTACTCCGGGCCGGTGCCGTACGGTAGAAAATTCCCCCGATCAGATTTCGGAGGGCAATCATCAATTTCCAATCAACAAATTTTTGGAGTAATCATTTTCCAATCAACGAAAGTTTGCAGTAATCATTTTCCAATCAACTTTTTGAAACAATAATCATTTTCCAATCAAAACTCCCCGTTTCGTACCGTTGCACGTATCAGAAACGGTCGTAACCGTATACTTTTGCAATCATTTTCCAATCAAAATCAACTTTCAAACTTTCAACTCTCCGTTTTGGAACTTTACCCCACCCCTCCACCCCCCTTTAAACCCTCCGTTCGGACCCCTCCCCATGACCCACCCCTCGAAGCCCACAGCGGCTACCCCCTTCATAACCAGGACTTGGTATCAAAAATACCGGTACTATCCAGTACCCCGGTGTCACATGATGGGGTCGGTGGTCCACCCTACCCCATGTACCAGTCTATCAGTCAAACACACCGGTGTCCCCCTACCCCTTTCACGACCTCTGAGAACTCGGTATCGAACACACCGGTCCCTACCCCAGTGGTCACATGACGGGGTCCGGGTGGTTCACCCTACCCCATATACCAGTGTATCAGTCAAACACACCGGTGTTTCTTACAGCCTTCCACCCCCCCCGTCTCGCCGGGCCCCCATACAATGATATGCCAGTACCCCCTTCCCTTCCCCCGTCACCACCACCTGGTGGTGACCCTTCCATTTCCTAAGCGCCCTTCCTCTGAGTCATGGCAAGGGTGCCTGATTGCGCCGGAGGCATCATGTCCCCTACTTCGGCCAACAGCACGGTGCCTAGTGGCACGGCAGTATCGCCAAGTAGTATGTCATTCATCTCTATCATACAAACATTCCGTACGCAACTGGATCTGCCCCCTGAATTGTCTTGCGAAGACGTTCTGCGTGCGGCTTACCCTTTGTTGGCCGGACTACCATACCCCTCCGAACCAGCAGCTGTTGGTTTGTGGCCTGCTGCACAGTGGTTGGCGAACAAGTTTTTTGGCCCGTCCAGTATACCTTCCAACGAGCAGTTCACACCCACTGTCAGGCTGCCACCCGAATCATTTCCCATCGGAGAGCCTCCGATACAATCTGCCTTGCCTCAGGCCCGGGGATCGCCTGCCACCATATCATTCAATGTGGAAGCGGCCGAGGAGATGACCAGGAGGAAGGTGCGAGGGGATGACCAGGAGGAAGGTACGAGGAGATGACAAGGAGGAAGGTACGAGGAGATGACAAGGAGGAAGGCACTAGGAGATGACAAGGAGGAAGGTACGAGGAGATGACAAGGAGGACAGTACGAGGAGATGACAAGGAGGACAGTACGAGGAGATGACAAGGAGGACAGTACGAGGAGATGACAAGGAGGAAGGTACGAGGAGATGACAAGGAGGCAGGCACGAGGAGATGCCAATTGAGGAGGAAGGTACGAGGAGATGACAAGGAGGAAGGTACGAGGAGATGACAAGGAGGAAGGTACGAGGAGATGACAAGGAGGACAGTACGAGGAGATGACAAGGAGGACAGTACGAGGAGATGACAAGGAGGACAGTACGAGGAGATGACAAGGAGGAAGGTACGAGGAGATGACAAGGAGGCAGGCACGAGGAGATGCCAATTGAGGAGGAAGGTACGAGGAGATGACAAGGAGGAAGGTACGAGGAGATGACAA